CAAGAACCAATGATACTCCAAATTACCTACTCTCGATTCATTGGAAAATTGCTCGTAGGTATAGTGGCAATCAAGAAGCAGTGAAAATCCAAATTATGATTTTCTCTGTATCTTGATTCACTCGGAAAATGTTTAAATTCTCTGGTTTCGATTCGCTTGAAAATTGCTCTAGAGTAACAATCAAGAGCCGGTAATAGTCCATATTTTGATTATTATCATGGTTTTGACTTGACTGTCACTGTAGTATTTTTCAAGTGAATCCAGAGAACTATTACTGGCACTCGATTCCCTGGAAAATTTCAAAAATTGAGACTTTTACAAGTTCTCCATTAACTGGAAAATGGCTCTAAGGAGCAATCAAAAATCAATAATTACCAACTCTCGATTCATTGGAAAATTACTCTAGTGGTAATCAAGAGCCGGTAATAATCCAAATTATGATTTTCCTGAATCTTGATTCACTGGGAAAATGTTTGGAAAATTCTCTGGCTTCCGATTCGCTGGAAAATTGCTCTAGAGTAGCAATCAAGAACTACACCTTTTCCACATGTAATTGCGAATATAGCAATTTATATTGCGAATTCATCAATTGATTTTGCGAATAGTCAAGTGATAATGCGACTATATTGAATAGTTATTGGGAAAAGGTAAATGTGAGTGCGAATATATCAAATGTAATTGAGAAAAGTTAAGTGTAATTGAGAATATATCAGATGCAATTGGGGATAATCAAATGAAATTTGGAATATATCAAATGTAATTGCGAATTAATCAAATATAATTAAGACATAATCAAATATTTTCTCTGTCGACTTTTTCTCGTCATCGTTGATCTGCATATATCATAATTATTGCGAAATTCCATTTTGTGTCGCCTTTCTTTGACACAAAACTACCTATATGTATGTGAACAATAGCTTTCTTTAACAACAGACTTAGTTATTTTAGCAACGACATACAGATGTTGATTGGAAAATTAAAAGGCTCAATTACATTTGATTTATTACTAATTTTATTTGATTATCTCCAATTACATATGATATATTCGCAATTACACTTAACAATTCTCAATTACATTTGATGTGTTCGCAATTATATTTAAATTTTCTCAATTACATTTAATATATTCGCAATATCAAGTGACTATTCTCAATTAGATATGATTTATTCGCAATATTATTTTACTATTCCTAAAATTAAGTGATATATTCGCAATTACACATGGAAAAGGTGTAGTAATATTCCATATTTTGATTATTATCAGCTCCTGGCTGTAATTGTAGCATTTTTCCAGTTAATCCAAAGCCTTTAATCTTCAAAATTTGAACTATTACCCGCACTCGATTCGTTAGAAAATTTCAAAAGTTGGGACTTTTTTCAGTTCTCCTTGCACTGGAAATTGCTCTAGGAGCAATCAAGAACCAATAAAAGTCCAAATTATTGTCTCTCTATTCATTGAAAATTGTTCTAGGGCAATCAAGAGCCGGTGAAAATTAAATGATTTTCTCTGGATCTTGATTCGCTGGGAAAATGTTTGGACTATTCTCTGATTTCGATTCGCTGGAAAATTACTCTAGAGTAGCAATAAAGAGCTGGTAATAGTTCATATTTTGATCAGATATTATAAATTCTTGGCTGGCACTGTAGCATTCTTCCAGTTAATCCAGAGCCATTAATCTTCAAAATTTGAACTATTACCGGCACTCGATTCGTTGGAAAATTTCAAAAGTTGGAACTTTTACCAGTTCTCCATGCACTGGAAAATTGATCTAGGAGCAATCAACAACCAATAATAGTCCAAATTATCGGCTCTAGATTTGTTGGAAAATTGCTCCACGGCAATCAAGAGCCGGTGATAATCCAAATTATGATTTTTTCTGGATCTTGATTCACTGGGAAAATGTTTGGATTATTCTCTGATTTCGATTCGCTGGAAAATTGCTCTAGAGTAGCAATCAAGAACTAGTAATATTCCATATTTTGATTATTATCAGCTCTTGGCTAACACTGTAGCATTTTTCCAGTTAATCCAGAGCCATTTATCTTCAAAATTTGAACTATTACCGGCACTCAATTCGTTGGAAAATTTCAAAAGTTGGGACTTTTACCAGTTCTCCTTGCACTGGAAATTGCTCTAGAAGCAATCAACAACCAATAATAGTCCAAATTATCGGCTCTCGATTTATTGGAAAATTGCTCTAGGGCAATCAAGAGCCGGTAATAATCCAAATTATGATTTTCTCTGGATCTTGATTCACTGGGAAAATGTTTGGATTATTCTCTGATTTCGATTCGCTGGAAAATTGCTTAGAGTAGCAATTAAGAGCTGGTAATAGTCCATATTTTGATTATTATCAATTCTTGACTGGCACTGCAGTATTTTCCCAGTTAATTCAGAGCCATTCTTCAAAATTTGAACTCTTAGCGGCACTCGATTCGTTGGAAAATTTCAAAAGTTGGAACTTTCACAAGTTCTCCATTCACTGGAAAATTACTCTAAAAGCAATTAAGAACCAATAATACTCCAAATTACCTGCTTTCGATTCATTGGGAAATTGCTCCATAGTGGCAATCAAGAAGCAGTGATAATGCAAATTTTGATGGATCTTGATTCTGAGTCCAAATTATCGGCTCTCGATTTATTGGAAAATTGCTCTAGGGCAATCAAGAGTCGGTGATAATCCAAATTTTAATTTTGTCTGGATCTTGATTTACTGGGAAAATGTTTGTGCTCTGAATTCATTGGAAAATTACTCTAGAGCAATCAAGAGTACCAGTTCTCTATTCACTGGAAAATTGCTTTAGGAACAATGAATAACCAATAATACTCCAAATTACCTGCTCTCGATTCATTGGAAAATTGCTCTAGTGCAATCAGGAGTCGGTAATAATCCAAGTTATGATTTTCTCTCGATCTTGATTCACTGAGAAAATGTTTGTAATCTCGTCTCATTATTGGAAAATTACTCTAGAGCAATCAAGAGTGTCAGTTTTCCATATACTGGAAAATTACTCTAAGAGCAATCAATAACCAATAATAGTCCAAATAACCTGCTCTCAATTTTTTGGAAAATTGCTCTGGTGCAATCAAGAGTCGGTAATAATACAAATTATGATTTTCTCTACATCTTGATTCACTGGGAAAATGTTTGTGGTCTCGATTCATCGGAAAATTACTCTAGAGTAATCAAGAGTACCCACTGGAAAATTGCTCTAGGAGCAGTCAATAACCAATAGTCCAAATTATCTGCTCTCGATTTAATGGAAAATTGCTCTAGTGCAATCAAAAGTTGGTGATAATCCAAATTATGATTTTCTCTGGATATTGACTAACTGGGAAAATGTTTGTGGTCTCGATTCATGGGAAAGTTACTCTAGAGCAATCAAGAGTACCAATTCTCCATTCACTGGAAAATTGCGCTACAATGGTAGAAGCGGCACAAAAAGTTACCCAGATCCTGAAAATTTCAATTATATTGGATGACGCGTTCCGAAGTTATTACCTGGGAGAAACGTCGTGGGACACCCTGTATATTATAAATGATAATAATAGTTATTGTCACATAAATGCCATATAAATGTGACTTTAATATACATTAATCTGCCTAACAATAGAAAAATATCAACAAATTTTAAGCCTCAAGTTTGAAAGTTTATTTTTTGAACTCGTAGAATTTACATAAACTTGACATGAAACTAATCCTGGTATAAAATGATCTCAAATTTATATAAACTTTACGTAAATGTCACAGATATGTTTACTGGGAGGTGTACAAAACAGAGAATCAAAAATACTTGTGAAAAGTGCAAAATATATCTCAGAAAACGACGGAAATAGACAGCTGATAATCGGGGAAAAAGAATTGACATAGAACTAACACAATTTAAACTAAAAGAAAACACACTCAAACATCTAAGAAATGCTCAGAATCTTCAATATTTCTATGAAAACTTCCAAATAATTAGTTTTGCTCCAAATAAGTGCTTTTAATTTCCCGAAGCACTTAATGCTCCAGAATCCACACAGAATAAAAGGATTATAAACGTGACTAGGAGATTGTTGGGGCTTAAAGAAACTAACCGGAGAAAAGCTGAGAAGCTTATTAGTGGAAACCAGAAAAATGCCTAAAAGATTACCAACTGATAATTTTGAGAATTGCCTATAATTTCGTTAGGAAAACTTGCTAGTGACGTAGGTATCCAGATTAAAATTCAATTTGGAATCAATATCTAATTCTGTCTTGATACCTGTATCCATTCAAAGAGGTTATTAGACCAATAATAATAATGTATTTGTTTTTGGCCAACGTGGCCATATATCAATACACAGTTTGTGGCATTAATATAGGGCAAATTTGGACCACAGACCACTAAGTATCCCATTAAATGTGACCTACGATCGAAATGCTGTGCAAATAATTTCGCTTGTCTGCCATAGGCATGAACCTCGAAAATAAATTATCGAAGAATTTTTGAAAAAATTGTTGAGTTGTCGCCAGAAAACTTTGTAGCCACGAGTGAACTTTTGCTTTGCTTTTTTTCTAGTTAAAATTATGATCATCGAATTAGTTATTATTCACAAGGATATCAAGATGATTCCCCCTTTTTTGAATCGATGTTTATTAAAAGTTTTCTTCTTCTTACCTTCTGTAAGTGTAATGTAATGTTATCTAAAACTCAAAATCTGTCTTTCCCAAACAAAGGAATGTACCCTTTTTTGTTAATTACTGTTTGAAAACTAACCCACATAATAATGAATTCATTGTTTGCGTGATATTGGTTATAATATTAAACTTTGCGCAACCCATATACTGCAATGCATGTAATTAATATATTTTTGTTTATAATATTTTAGACAAATTATTTTTTTTTTCACAGTTTTTAAAATAATTTTTTGAAAAATTTTGTTTGTTAATTTACAAATAATAATTAATTTTTGAAATTAAAATTTGAAGGTGCATTAAAAAAAAAGTTGGTGCGATCTCAAAAAAATTCCTTACCTTTCGTCCAGTTACGTCACCGTTTCGACCGCATTTAGATCCAAAATATATATAAGAAAACTGAAATTTTTTTCACCGGGTGGACAAATTCACTATAGAAACTATACGCGAGTTTTGTTGCTACTGCTGGTCGGAAAATTGGGAAACTCGCTCGTCGGAAAAGCGCACTTTCTCGCGCATCGCGACCTGCCGACTTCGTCGCTCAGAGTGCCAGCGCCCAAACGCGTTTTCCCAACAACAACTTTATTTACCTGACTAAGCAGCGACTTTGTGGTGTGTTTCTTTATTTTATTTTTTTTTGAATTGGATTTTGGGAGACACAGGGTTATTTTTGAATCTATAGCGCCTATTTATAGTACAAGATGTTTGCACGATTAGACATAACATTTGCGATTCGGAATATGTACAGGGTGTTTCAACTAAGACTGAACAGGGGGTTATTTTTTATTTTCCCTGTATTATTGAAAAAATTCAAAATAGCCGATTGGAATTTTTTTTTTTCTGGATTATTCAAAAATTATCAGCTTCAAGAATTGATACTTGGAACATCTGAAGATATGACCCATCAGGTATGCAGTTTTCCTTCTTTTCACTATCTGCAACTACTCTCTGCTCTTTCTTCCCATTCTATTCAGAACTTCTTCGTTCGACTCACGATCCGTCCTCGGAATTTTTAGCATTCTTCTGAATACCCATGTTTCGAAGGATTCTAGTAGGTTCATGACACTGGCCTTTAGTGTCCAAGTCTCCACTCCGTAGAGTAGCACGGAGTAAATGTAGCATTCTACAAAACGGTACCGTAATGACAAGTTGCTAAGACTGTTGTTGGTTGTTGCTGAGAAGAGCTTTCATATTTATAAATGTTTGCTTGATCAATGCTGCCTCGTATTTCTACGTCTGGAATTAGATCTTTAGTTATCCAGCTTTCTAGGTATCTAAACTTTGCTAGATTTTCCATTTGGTGTTCTGCTAACCGTCATTACTCTCGTTTGGTTTATTTTAATCTTTAGGTGGAGTTGTTCGCCTCCGATATTCTATCAACAAGGCGTTGTAATGCTTCCAGTCTGCTATTATAATTATATCAACAGCGTAACGTATGTTGTTGACAACTTGTCCATTATAAAAGGTCTGGGGAGCAGCGAGACGGAGCTCCGGAGGATGCTGAACGATATTCCGCGTGTGGTTAAATTCACCAAAATGCACCGATCCTAATAAAATACATACAAAGACTAACACTTATTACGAATTACGGAGCTCCGCCTGTCTGTTCCCCATACTCTTGTGTCCATTATTCTTGATGCCGTCCTCTGCGTCGTTCAAGGCACATTCAAAAATCGTTTCAGACTATAGTTTGAAGAGTAGGGAGGGGGGACAGAACGCAACCCTGTCTTACTCCTCTTTATATCGAAAATTTCTGAATGTGTTGTATTGATTTTATTGCTGTGTTTTAAGTACTGGAGTGCATTTAGAAATGGAGTGTGAAGGTGAAGTAGTTGTTAGTCAGAGTGTTCTGACGTCATCCCTTGGAGTGCACTCTGGGTGCCCTATTTCTGAACGTATTGGCCTAGGGCGTTGCGGTAAATGTCAGTGTCATGAATTACGACGCAAGTTCAACATGTCTATGAGTTCAACCAACACTAAAATTCTAAAAATGGCAGTGAGAAGTGCATGTAAGGTAATTGTGCCAAATATTGCCACCTTAACGTATGGTATTGAATAAATTCTATACTTTTATTAATGAAGGAATACAAATCTAGGTACCAGTGAAAAAATGCATTGTTTAATAGAAATGAAGATATTGGACGTTTTAGTTGAAATTGAGAATGGCAATATTAGGATCACAGCTCTCCCTATTATTGCCACCCTATGTCAATATTAGGAACATAGGAACAAAAGATGAAAATAACAAAATTTTCTGACAAAAAATAATTAAACTCAAGAACATTGAGGACAGATAGTGTTTTCTTTGTCATCCTTAGTTAGGCCTACACAGGCCTCGTGAACATATTGACAGCAAACTAGGCACAAGCGCATATTTAGTAATGGCAACATTAGGTACAAATGACGTCCAGAAAAAAAAAATTCTAACCTAGAAACCCACTTAAAATAATTCATGCCATTCATAAAACAAGAGCCCCTAGAATGTACTTTTCTGAACTTAATAAGAAAAATCAAGTGAATGTAAATTAAGATTGCGTAGGGTTAACGTGAAAAGTTAATTTTCTCATAGCGCGGCCAGGAAAAATAAATGTCGTGCTACTGACGTCTGACGTTTAGCATAGACTAAACCGCCGAATAGAAACAAATCGCTGACAAATCAAAGTACCTGCTACTGCTGCCACCTACATGTAGCATCGATACTAGCTGAGTAACGAGGAGTGACCATATTAGGAACAATGGCAATATTTAGCGCACCTAACTTATTATGTTATTATCAAAAGAGGTCCTGCTGGAACATCCTTCATCTGAAGAAAGTGCTTCAGATAAAGAAAAGCAATTGATCCTGTTGAATCAGTGTAGAAAGAGGGCCAACCTATTCAAGAAAAAAAAGCCGATAATTGCAGAACCGCCGTCAACAAGGGGCTCGTTATTCTTCAACACAACGGCAAAGTCAACATTGTTGATATCCATATTTTTCGACTCCATCTTAGAGGACTCCATCGACCATCACTAATAAGCACTAGGAATAATCATAATGAAAATAACCTTAAAATCACGTCAAATCTGGTACAAACTGCGGGGCGTTTTTCAATCCAGTCCCTGAGTGGAGTAGTTTTGGCGCACTCTGGGCACGTCAACTCTCGATTTCTGAATGATTCCAGCTAACGCTCCAAGTAAGTACCTGTTAATTTATGAACGGTTTGGAGTTCGGTTTGGAGTTACTCTAGGGTCACTCTCACACCCAGAGTGTTATTTCTAAACGCAACCCTGGTGTTTATGTTGGTAACTGACAGGAAGATCTTTCAATAGTGTCGAATGATTGATATTGAGGCGTTTTCTCGCGTCTCAAATGTTTCATAACATTTTTCAAAACTGGTTTAAGTCATGTCACCATTACGTCATAATTTCTTGGCGCGAGAAAATGGTTTGAAAACGTGGATTGGATTGTATTTCGAAACGGTTTGAACCAATTTTGACGTGACGTCATGGGTTTATCGCAAGAATGTACTATTTCGAAACAGTTTTTGAACCAGTTTCAAAAAAGTGGACGCGAGAAAACGCCTATTTTTTCAGATATGGATACGAGGATACGAGGCCATTCTGCGCATGCGCAGATCAATGCGGATACGTTTGAAATTTAGGACCTGCCTAACGGGTCTATTACACTGTATTATCATATCTTGCCGCATCTTTATTAAATCAGTGTGTTTGGCACAGTAGAACGCATTCTGATAATCTATGAAACACAATGAAAACGTCCTTACTTAGTAATACGTAATACGGTTAAACTGAAAAGTGCTCCACGTGTGCTGAAGTGAGTAGAAGCAATGAATCTTCCGCATCTGTTGTGAATTCTCCTATGGATTGATTATCTTTGGGAATATTTTCGAACTGATCATTCGGAACCATTGAGTTCCGAAATAATCACACACGTGGTTTCCGTTTGGTGTTTTTGGGATCGGTACAAAAATTGACTGGAGCCAGTCCTGATGTGGTATCTCGCTCGTCTTATATATGTTGTTGAACATTACCACCAGAGTCTACGTTCTCGTCATTTAGCATAATTTCATTATCTGCCTTCTGATTTCAGTGATTTCAATATTTTTGGCGAGGGTTCAACTGTCTTCACCTTTATATTCTTCATTGAAATTTATTTTGGTAATCTTCGCATAAAGTTGTTACGTGCGTCCCTTGGGATCAGAGATGATACTACTTTATGTACTATTGTGTTTCAATATGATACTGAAATTGCAAGTCTTTGTTCGGCCTGTAACTTCTTTCACTAATTTATGTGTGGTAAAGTGGTTATACTGGTCATGGTCCAATGTCATGCCTCCAATAGGAAACAATCATATTTTTCAAAGTATTTTTTTCAAATATAAAATGTATGTGTTTTTTTTTTGTTTTATGTCCTCATTAAAATTTAAAAAATATTTTAAATTTCAAATTATTTTTGTTGGCGCGAAAACGATTAGCTTCAAGATGGTGGAACTTGTGACGTCAACTGTCTGTAAACACAATGTTAAGGTCTGTTCTCACAAGAGCCTCTGACACTTTGCAAAATGTCAAAAAGAATCGCTTAGCTGCTTAGCTTGAATCACTGATGCCCGAATGCACCGTTTGTTGATTCTAATCCTAGTTCGCCAATTCCATTTTGTAAACTTTGGCCTATAGCTATGCACCGTCAGCGGATTAACTAATCCGGAGTGGAAGTTTGGCAATGTTAGCATCCCAAGAGTTTTTGACACTTTTTAAGTCAAATAACGTTAAAATATTGTCAGTTGTCAGTTTAGAATTTCAATTTTTACTTGATTTTTATTCTTATTTTCTAAAAATATTCAAAATATCAAAATGACTGATGAAAACACCGAAAAAATCCCCAACTTTTTCCCGCCAGGAGAAAGGCAGAGTCTCACGAGGATACTTTCAAAATTCGCTAATATCATCGAAGACAAAACAACAAACAAAGTTCCCAATGTCAGAAAGTCTCAAGCTTAGAACCGATTAACGGGAGAATTCAACAGCACTGCACCTATACTCTGCCATAGGACCGTCGAGCAGTTACAGAGATAAATACTATATAAACTGTCGAGAATGGAATCTCAGTGTAAATTTTGTTGTCAACAAAATTGAGCCAAGCGCGCCATCTACCATTTTGGAAACTCACTATTTACTGGTTTTGCATCGACGTTACAGACACCTACTTTACATAAGACTTCAAGGCATTTTTATGATAGATGGCGCCCTGTTCGTATTACAGTCGGTCTGTTCAAATTTGTTTATTCTAGACTTTGGGACATTAATGTTTGCTTAAATTAATTGACCTTTTGTTTCGACGCCATATTGCGGTGCGCGAACATAGTTGCCAAAACAAGAAAACCAAAAATTACTAGCGGGCTGTCAACTAGATATTTTATTATTTCTATTCTGCTCAATACAAGTTAAAATTGATGGTTTTTCTTTCCAAAAACATTCGTAATAGGCGGTAAATTTAAATTTTAAATGTAATTTATTCATTAACTTTGGATTTTAAAGTTGACAGAACGCTAATAATTTTTTTTTCTA